ATCTTATACTTTATGTTATTTACAGTCGGTTATAAAAGCTCCTAGAGCTTATGTTGTAATGTTGAAAACTTGCCGACTTGAAATAAAACTTATCTTATCTTATCTTATCTTATCTTTAACATCGCATGCGAGGGGTGCAAAGCACCTAAAAAATCTAGACATCAAGTCGTCATTGACGAAGTGTGGCCTTGCATTTGTCAGACAGGAAGGAACTATAAATGTCAAAACTGAAAATTGCAGTAGATCTGATTCAAATAATAACATTGTGCCATCCCAATCCACAATGGAAACTGTGCATGACATGACAATAACACCCCCACCCACTTCTAGTAATCATTGATTTGTGACTGAATCAAACATTCTAAGAAAGGGCTTCAAAGAAAAGAAACTGGAAGTTGAGGAAATTGGAAGAGAAATCCAAAAAAGAAAGGAAAAACTAGATAGAGTTGTGTGAATTTACTCAATCACCTATATGTTACAGTTTTGGTGTTCATAAATTCTACTGACTGTGCTGATTTTCTAAATATAGTCACTGTTTTGCAATTCTAGTCATTTGAACCTTAAATTGAAATACACATGTTTTATTTACATGTTTTATATCACAGATATGGTTGTAAAAGTATAATTTTAAATAAGATCAATTGCAATAAAAATGTATATCACAGATATGGTTGTAAAAGTATAATTTTAAATAAGATCAATCGGGAAAAAAATGCCTTGAAAATGACAATTTTACCTTGAAAAGTCCTTGAATTTTGATTCGAGAATTTGGTATGAACCATGTGTCGCCATTTTGTGTAATTGTCAACAAACAGCCACAGTGTATTAGCGTGTTGCCAATTGGTCAATGCAAACTGCCGTAGATACAACGCGCGTTCTGATTCGCCAATCGCATGAATACGTAATGAGAAAGATACACATAGTGAACTCTTGCCTTGCGGCGTGTATTCAACTTTGTTGATGTTGACACGCGTTCTTAATTAGCGGATTAACGGTAATTGGTCGTAATTGAGAGGTAAACAAATTATTAACAGACCTAGCGGCGTAAATAAGTATGACGGAAAATTATAAAAATCGGGCGACTTCAAAATCTCTTTGAAGTTTGTTTTAGGCAAAGTCGCTGATGCGAAGGCGACTTCTTCGCCAAAGTCGTCACCTAGTTCAAGCCTTGCTCCCCTTGCAAAAGTCGCTGTTCACGGCTCAAATATCGTTAAGGGTGACTAAATCATGGTCGTTGTACGGACTAGACAGGGAGTCGCTACATACAGACCATTTACATAGTAAATACTGTTCGGCGCACCTAACTATGGTCACTATAGACAGAACATCGCTATATACAGGGGGTCGCTAAGACAGTCTTTACTGTAGTGGTGCAAAAACATTCTGGTATACCAAATAGTTGTGGTGCTAAGATATTCAGTTATATCAAATACAGTCAAACGTGTATTAAGCGACCGGGCAAGGGAAACACCCAAAACGGTCGCTTAATGAAACGGTCTCTTAAGACAGTCAGCATGATATAAAAGTAAAAAATTAAAAAAAATGACATCTTTTTTATTCGGTGGGATTGTTTTTCAACTTAATTTTTATATCTTTGTTGAAAAAAAGTACGCTCCGATAATCTCAATGGATGCAAATGTAAAAAATAACTTTCTGATATTTATTGACAAAACAGTTTCAAGATCCATTACGTACATGTTTGGACATTTTTTCCAGAATTTTTTTAACATCTCCGTTGTTTTTCCCTTGTCTCCAACACGAAAACCCTATTAGTGAAGATGTTTTCTGTTGTGCATTTTTTCATTTGAAATAAACAAATACATCTATTTTTACGATTAATTTAATGGCTGATCAAGTTCAAAAGGTCAATTCAATGCAGTCTAAATGTCAACAAGCGAAGCGTATTTACACCATCTCAGTATGGGCGGAGCGTTGCATTGTTTATTCCGATATTATTGGATAATACACGTCACGCGTATACTAAACTTTCATTTGCAAACGCTAAAACGGTATGGGAAATAGAGTTTTTCACACGTTTATTGTTGTGTTTTGATTGTTGACACTTGTGACATAACGAGGTGGCGTTCTCTATAAACACAATTACTTGACAGGTAAAAGTGGTCGTTTAATGAAAAGATTGATGTCAATAAGATGACTTATTAGCGGTCGCTGGTCGCGTTGAGCAAAAGTCGCTTAATGCATGAAAGATATAGAGAGAAAATAATCGGGGGGAATTTAAAGTGGTCGTTTAAGACAAAAGTCGCTTAATACACGTGGTCGCATGGGCAAGTTAGACTGTAATAGTGGTGCTAAAATACTACGGTATACCGATATATCAAATAATAGTGGTGCTAAAATACTCCGGTATACTGATATATCAAATAATAATTACCAATATATCAAATATTAGTGGTGCTAAAATACTACGGTATACTGATATATCAAATAATAGTGGTGCTAAAATACTCCGGTTTACCAATATATCAAATAATAGTGGTGCTAAAATACTACGGTATACTGATATATCAAATAATAGTGGTGCTAAAATACTCTGGTTTACCAATATATCAAATAATAGTGGTGCTAAAATACTCCGGTTTACCAATATATCAAATAATAGTGGTGCTAAAATACTACGGTATACTGATATATCAAATAATAGTGGTGCTAAAATACTCCGGTATACTGATTTATCAAATAATAGTGGTGCTAAAATACTCCGGTATACTGATTTATCAAATAATAGTGGTGCTAAAATATTCCGGTATACCGATATATCAAATAATAGTGGTGCTAAAATACTCTGGTATACTGATATATCAAATAATAGTGGTGCTAAAATACTCTGGTATACCCATATTCTGTATATGAGAATATTGACCTTTGAAACCATGGTCCATGTAATAGAAAGAGCACCGAAACACGAGGCTATCTGATTAATCAGATTGCCGAGTGTTTTGGTGTTCTTTCTCTTTTGTATCATAGTCAAACATAAAATCACGTTCCCTGTTGTCACAATATGAAACCCCGGCAAAAATGAACCAATGAACTAACATCTGAATATGACATTTCTGTCGCTTTCTCTTTCTCTGCCGTCACAATATGTAAACCCCAGCAAAAATGAGCCAATCAATGGGCATGCTCTGGAGTGCGGGTAACTATTAAATACCCGCACTCCAGTTAACGCACTGTGCATGTATATGTATACGATTTAACCCTGACACATTTTCAACAGAAAGGTCTCCAAACTATGATACAACTTACATTATGGTTTGATTGTATCATTGCAAATTCAGTGCCAGGTCTCACTAACATAGCTGATGTCTTAATTTTGTTCCATCTTCAGAAGTTTTTGCTCATTTGCTACAATATAAAAACCCTTGAGAATACTTACATGCCAGTAATGACATGCATATGCCACCAGTATAGCTTATAATCAGACTGGATGGGTAATTCCAAATATTCAAATCAGGGCAAGTCCAGTGTACAAACTGAGGGTTCTTAAAAAGTGTGAAAGGAGATGTGTGTTTGTGAATGAAAATATTTTAAAAGAACAGTCTTAATACAACCATTTTCAGAAATTGAATACGACTTTTAATTCTCATTTGCATTTTGAACAGAATAATGCGGTATTATTTTAAGACTCCTTTGTTCCCTAAATAATCAAGTTAGAGTGGCGTTCACAGGGCCAAGTGGTCAACGTGTCAGACTAGTAATCTAATGATTGCTAAGGCGGCGTGGGTTCAAACCCGTTACAGACAAGCCATTGTTTACGAGTACAAGAAACTTTACACACATTGCTTAGTATTGGTTGGTTCAGCTCAATCAAACTGAAATATATAAACTTAACTTATAATCAAGTAACCAGCAAATATATTAGTTAAAATATGTTTTTCTTCTACAGAAGGTGTTGTATCATCTTCTTCGTAAAGATGAACCTGGAATATACATGTATTAGACATGTAGCAATTATTTGTAAGAGTTAGAACATTCCTGATAAATTTATATTGCTTACTAGTTTATAGCTGCAGGGGCCATTATTTTCTCTGTAACTTGAGAGGTTTTTTTACCCATAAAAATTAGTTACAATTAATTCCATGGGCATAATTTCCTAAATTTATGGAAAATTTACAGTGCAAGATAAGTACAACATATGTCTGAAAGTAAAAGTGGATATCTGTATTTTAAGTTACAGAAGTAGTTAGAAGAACCATTAGTATTTCTGTATTTTAGTTATGTATCCTGCAATTAACTTAGACCTGCATGTTATCAGTGCAGTAAATTCTGCTTATAACGATACACAGTACATAGGTGCAAGTTTTCAGGCATACGCCTGAAACTCAGGTTTTTTTGTGACAAATTTCATCATGTTTTAATATTAGATTATGTAGGAAAATGATTTTAAATTACAGTTTTCAGGTTTTTCCAAATTTTCAACTTGCACCCATGTTAACTCAGGGGACCGCCAAATTCATTTTGTTATATCCTTATGTAGTTATATCCGAGAGGCAACCAATTTGAAAACAAGTGTCTGGACCATGGCAAAACAAGAGTCCGGACTGCAACAACAGCGTCATTAATTCATTATAATAGGTATATTGTTATAAGGGATATCGTTATAAGACTTTGTGGAGTTTACTGTATTAGGGGTTTCAAGGTCCTGCTGATGAAAACTTTGAGTTGTCAATACTTAAGAGCTTGGTCAGACTTTATGCCAATATGTCACAAGATTTTACATACGTCTTTACAATTATTTTGCTGGGGGTAATAAACCTTTTTATGCTATCCTTATGTAGTATGGCTAGAATAGGCTTGCCAGACTCTTATACCTTTGGTTGCTTAGTTTGAATATTTTGAAACAGGGATTTCAAGTATTTAATTGGTAACTATGCAATCAAAGGCAGACAAGCCTTCAAGATAAAGGTTATTTCCTTGAAGTGTTTTTGATGTGAAAATAGTTAAAAATTGGTGTTAAACATTATTTTTTCATATATTTTCAGATGACCGAAGGCCGAAAATGTCAAATACTATTACCTGACGAAAGACGTTTAGAACTCCTTATTCAGGTACATTTCTCTAATCTTGTTATATAAGTAAATTCCGTTTCTCTAATATTGTATTAGTCAATTCCGTTGCATTATTTATTGTGTGATAAAGTACAGTTCATGACTCAGAATATGTAGAAATTACACAGATTATTAAAGAGTTATTATCCTGTTTGGTTTTATGATATTGGCGTCTGAATGGTGAATCGAGGCAGTATTTAAGAGGCTGAGACAATAAAACTTACTGTGTATTGAGATTTAACTTATTCTGAGATAATAAACCATTGTTTTATTTCTTTTGATAAACAATATTGTAAAATTTTCCAAAGTGTACAACAAAGGAGGTATTGACTCCGCTTTTATAAGCTGCTATAAAAAAAAAGCTGCTGCTCACGTCAGAGGGGTAGAGATTATGCACTTCTGTTGTTGTTTTATTATTTTATATAATAGTAACAATACTGTAAAGGGGAGCATGAGGCAAGAAGTGAGCTTAACATGAGCTTTGATTGATCTTTAAAGAATGTGTAACATGTGTGCATCTGATTTCCTCAAAAAAAAAAAAAAATGTTAAGGGAGGTAATTATGTTAGGAAATTGTGTTTTAGTGTTGTAAGATTTACTTCCCTTTGATGAAATCAAGTTCTCTTTCAATTTTCAGCCAAAACTACTGACTTGGGAATTACTTGACATTGTTGGGTCCCATTTCAAGCTTAAAGAAAAAGAATACTTTGGTCTAGCCTTTCAAGATGACACGTAAGTACTACAAATTTGTTTATTATTACAAAAATCTTGATAAGGGTAGATCCCTTGAGAGTTAGGAAAGTGAAAATTGCAGACTCTGAATCTGTTCATAGGTGTAATGAAAGATGCAACATGCCCCCTAGCATTAGCTTAAGCAGAATTCAATCTGTAATACAAAAAAGTATTAGAATCAGTGATCCTGAAAAACTAGAAAATATAACAAGACTGATTACCTGAACAATTGTTCTAGGTATGTGTGGAAGTGTTAAGGTTTCTGACATTCCATCACTTGGTGCTTTCCACAGTGTTTTCACAATACAAAATATTTCATACATGTGAGAAAGCTGTCCAGCTAGCTTACAGTAGGTTGGTGGTTCTACTTGAGGTTTGGCTGTTGCTAAATAAAGGGACACTTGAGGTCTTCTGCAAGGTTTCATCTTTATAAGGCATTTATAGACTTAATTATTATTTGGAGATTGACAACAGAAGCTAATCTGAATTCTGGCTATGTTTTACCATGTTTTATGCATTTTGGGATAATTGAAGCCCTGCTTTCCCTGCCTTCAATCAAACAATTTAAGATTTTACCCTTATCCTTCTCAGTGACTGAATCTTGAATTTACCTATGTGACCATTGTTTACCAAGATCGGCCAGGACATTTTCGCTGTCTGATCATAGTCTGCAATGTTTGCTATTCAGACTTATTTTGAAATTATCCCCAAAAAAGGGTGAATGGTTTTGTCCAGATTGAAATATGTCTATTTAAGAAATTAGGTGAAGAATGGCTTGATATGCCCTCCAAAAGTAGGAGTTTGTTATTGCAAAGATTGTAGCAATATTTACAGACAGATCAAAGCAGTATCGTTATTGATTCTTTATTCTCCGAGAAAGATTTAAATCAAACTCCAGAATCTGCCTCGAAATAAGTTGAAAGATTTCCTCAATTAAGAAAATAAGTTGATCTTATGATATGATGTTTTCAATATTTTATTTTAGACATAAATTGCTGCACAAATTTGATATAGAGTGCAGAAAGATATTTGATTAAGAAGATAGATGTTCTTTGAAGTATTTAAGAAAGGCTTAAAGATAGATCTTGCTGATCATGGGTACATAATTTATCAAATAATGGAGAGTTTTTTAACCCTTTGAATTATAGTGGCTCTATAAATTGACTTGCCTTTGCTACCAGTATTTATGCCTGCCCATATTATGGTCATTTTATGGTGAGGCCTAAAAAAAAAAATTGTTTTGTTAGGGTAACATGCTCTCAAGGAATAGGTAGGGTAGGTCGGATTTTTTTTTTTTTTTTTTTTTTTTTTTCCAGTATATTGAAATTTAGATATGGAAATTTCTGACATCTCTCCCAGGTGGCACAAATACATCCCTTCTATGTTTTCAAAAGACATTTCAGGTGTAACAATCTTAAACTCTCAGCGTTCTTCTGGTGAAGATCACACGCCGTTTTACAAATATTGACGATGTGATCCGCCATTTTGTAACTAAGAGCGGCGATAAAACCTGTACCGTACCCAGGGCTCATCCTGGGGGGAAATTTTAGGGAGAAGTGACTTCCTCGTGAAAAATCGGCAGAAGGGAAACATCCTAAATTCCTAATGTGTATGCATTAACATGCATGGCTATACATCCTTTAACTAGAATAGAAACACAATCTATTTATCAGCTATTTATAATCTTTCTCATATATTTTTGATAATAATGTGTAAGAAAACTATGATTAATAAATTAACTTTATATCTTTACTTTCCAGATAAAGTTACATTGGATAATGATTAATAAAATCTGTTTATCCTGTTCTGTTTACAGAAATTTCTTTTATTATCTTCTATGGTGTATTGTCATATTTATGTGCATATAATTATGCTTATAAAACAATTTTCAAGTATCGAAGAATATGTAAAATATGTACTGCAAACATTTGTGCACATTATATTTGATCACTAAAATTATATACATTCATTTCTTATTGAAAAATACGACTGAGCAATTATAGAAAATAAATTTCTAATTACCTCCCTTTATTTTCATGAAATGTTAAACTCGTAATATCTTTATAAATAATGCTTTTTGAAATTTACAATATTAATAAATCTTAATCTGAGGGTCATATTTATGACATTAAAACAAATATATATATTGAAACAATAAGAACACTTCTTTCCTGACAAATTTTGTTGTTATATACATGAGCACATGATGATTCGTAGTTTTAGGATGTCGTGCCCACGTGCGTACAAGCTGTGTCAAATTTGGCATTTCTACAAAGATAACAATGCAAAACACCCTCACTGTCTACAACATCTACCAATCATAAGATTTTTGCGAATTGACTAACACTAGTAACAGTTTGTGATAGCCGTGAAAAACCTATTGCACATCGCCTTTACTTCGGTTAAACACCGCGTGTATATCAATTAGGGAAGATTTGCACGTGTTTAGATGATCGGAAAAAAATTAATCTATAATTATCGCCAAATCCCGTATTAAACTCGCAAAATATACCCGTTTCGGGCAGATGCTCTCATTATTTACTGTTTAGAGTAGGCGGTCTATCGCTTTGCATACAGGTAGAAGGGTAGTATATAGCGATGCTCTGATTGGATAATGATAATTAGCAGTCGTCATATGGGCGGATACAATCTCTGCTCTTTACATCGGCAAGTAATTACTCTTTGGGAATTAGATTTTATCGACGATGTTGACGTCTCTTTGGATCAATTGGGAGAGCGAAATGGAAATATACACAGCGAAATTTTCGCCTGAATTGCCCTTCACACTGCTCATTGAGTGCCTCAATAATACGGTATTTTCATGGATTTTTTTTTTTTTTTTTTTTTTTTGGACACGAAAAAAACGGTAGGGTCGGCGCATATTATTAGGTAGGGTCGGGTGACCCGAACAAAACAATTTTTTTTTTAGGCCTGAAGAGGGTTAACACATACCAGTATCAAGCTAGATCAGTTTGCATGTCCCTTGATTGACTTAGACAAGACTGTACCTAATTGTATGCATTTTGATATAAACATATAAGTAATAGAGTTAATATCACTTGATAATTCTAAAATTTAATGTTTTGGACTATGTCTGCCCATGTGAATAAGGGGATATAACTCTAACTTTCATTATTTAACAAAATCTTTTTGTTGCCTCCCTTTGTTTCAGAGTAGGCCAATTTTTGAAAATAATCATGTACCCTAATAACCATGCTTAATTGGTGTAAAGGTCTTGTTGCCTAACTTTTAATTTGGGACTGCTTATTGTAGGTAGTAAGATAGATGCAAGCATGCCTGAAATTGATCATATTCAATTTGAATGGAGTAAAAAAAAAATGTTGGAAAAATATTAGAAATGTATAATTTTTATTAAACAGTGAAAAACAACTTTAAAAAAATTCATTATTGTCCCATTACCTACTGGCTGTGTCCAGGTTTAAATTAAAAAAAAAGAAAATAAAGAAAAAAAAATTAATGCCAGAAAGATTTGATCAGCATTATATCAGTCCTGGGTGGTTTTTCTGACCTTACTATACTTGTAGATTTTATTGGCTTATCTGAACTGATTTGTAAATGTATTTTTAGACCCATCTGACTCAACAGCAATCCACAGGTGTTACCTTTATTTATATCCTTATCAGTCGTACCCATCTTTAAAAGTATTCAAACCTCCTCACACTGTTTTTATTCCTGATTCCGAACAAGATCTAGGCTTAAGATATCCGCTCTTTATAGACTAAATTTATCTATATTGATTTAACATTTTATGTAATATCAGTGTATAGTAGACAGTAGGTTAATCTATGTTTTTTTTGCAGTTTTTATGATTTTTTTTAAATGAAAATTTATATGTAAGATTTGTTATTATTGATATGCAAGACTAGGGCAAAATGGCTGTGAGTTGGTTTTAACCTTCCCCCTCCCACCCTCCCATAGTGAGGGGCGGGGGGATAGATCTCGTTTTAAGCAGATAGACAGAACAGTAGACTGTTTCAGAATGTCTTAACCAATTTCAGTCTCTCTATGTTGTTCATGTTTATATAGTTATGATAAATTTTATTTTAATATATACAAGAGAGGGGACACATCTGTGTGTAAGTTAGTGGCTAATGTTGTCCGCTCCAAATTATTTGTGCTCACCACTAGGCATATGAATCTCTGTAAGGATATTCAGTAGGTTCAAGCTATAATATTTAGGTTTGCAGGTCAGTGGTTCTCAGCCTGGACTTGCTTGTGCATAAAATAATGTACCTTGCCATAGGTTTTTTTTTCTCAGGATTTTAGGAACATGACCCATACCCATGGAATGGGGAATTTTAGCGATGTTTTGTTAAAAACTGGGAAAAACTTCATGACTTAAATTTTGCAGTCATTAAATGAATTCTAGGATGGCATCTTCAAACATTAAAATGCCATAACAGTGAAGAAGCCCTTATTTTCAAAGATTTTAGAAGTTGTTATTCAATATTTTTATTTTGGAACTTTCAATTGGGAATATTTTCCTGTGGATTGTGAAAATAATATACTATTTTCAATTGGGAATATGACCGAATATGGGCTATGAAATAAGCCAAAAATAAATCCCTGGGCTGCCAGTAAACTTTCCTAACAGTCTCTGTGTAATGCACCAGCAGAAACAGTCATATTGAACAAATAAATTGAGTAAGCCTCATGAATAAGCATTGGAAAATCAGGAAGTTGATGTCCGACATAAAAATAAGTAGGTTTAAATTTTAATAGTTGCACAGGATAGAAATCCAGGAAAATTTCTGTCCTTTAGACCTAAAATTATTTCTTGGCAGTCTGTAAACATTCTTGTAAACAAAGAAGTGCACTGATAACAAAAAACAAAAGAAAAATAGAAAGGTGTTGACCTGATAAAACATTGCAACATTTATTTGATATTTTTCACTGGCTAGAATATGGTATATTATCAGTATGGGAGTGTTGGGAGAATATGACAGATTCCAGATGTAAGACATGTTATGATAAATTGAGTGTATCAACAATATATTGGGAGAGATATTAAAATATATATATTTATAAAGCACACATTTGCACTTGTATGAACTAGCTCAGCAAATTCCATTTTAACATATGGTAAGAGTTTTTGTTCTGTTTTACTGATAGTAATAGATCTATCTGTATAATAAACAAGTCAGTTTTTGTTCATGGTCAAAAGTTTAATGACTGGGTCATTGATATATACATAAATGCCAAAATATACATTAAGTACATTAATTGTGTATATTATAGTTTCAGAATATAGAATAGTTTGTTGCTTTGGGGTAACTCATATAAAGCTAGTGGCCATTTAGACTTAAATTTTCTTACCATGCCTGATATGATAACTAACTGATCCCTGAAATATTTCCCTCAAAACACTGAATTTCTATAATGAACTTGTCCATTTTTGGAACAGACCATTATCAATTTTGGGGATATCAAGATGAAAATTTTTACTTATATAGAGCCTGCAGTCTGGCCTGTTTTCTTTACTTGTGGCAAACGCCAATCACTTCTATTTTCAGCAGGGTTAAGTTAATAATGCAAATCTCTTTTAAAATGACTTACAGAGTCAGTTTCATTTGTTTTTCCCTTTTTATACCCCCAAAAACGAAGTTTGGGGGGGTATATAGGAGTCACCCGGTGGTCGGTCGGTCGGTCGGTCGGTCGGTTGGTCGGTCGGGCGGTAGGTCGGTCCAGACGTCCGTTGCATTTTCCTTGTCCAGAGCATAACTTGAAAACTAATGGTTGGAATTCAATATAACTACATACAATGGTCAAGCACATTGAGAGGAAGTGCAGTGCACAAGAACCATAACTCTATCTTGACTAATTACAGAGTTATTGCCCTTTGTTACTTTTCCTTGTCCGGGGCATAAATTGAAAACTACTGGTTGGAATTCAAAACAACTTCATACAATTGTCAAACACAATAAGGGGAAGTGCAGTGCACAAGAACCATAACTCTATCTAAAGTAATTACAGAGTTATTGCCCTTTGTTGCTTTTTCCATTGCTTTTTTTTTGTCCGTTGCATTTCCTTGTCCGTGGCATAACTTGAAGACTAATGGTTGGAATTCAATATAACTACATACAATGGTCAAGCACATTGAGAGGAAGTGCCAGTGCACAAGAACCATAACTCTATCTTGACTAATTACAGAGTTATTGCCCTTTGTTACTTTTCCTTGTCCGGGGCATAACTTGAAAACTACTGGTTGGAATTCAAAACAACTTCATACAATTGTCAAACACAATAAGGGGAAGTGCAGTGCACAAGAACCATAACTCTATCTAAAGTAATTACAGAGTTATTGCCCTTTGTTGCTTTTCCATTGCTTTTTTTTTTGTCCGTTTGCATTTTTCCTTGTCCGGAGGCATAACTTGAAGGCTAATGGTTGGAATTCAATATAACTACATACAATGGTCAAGCACATTGAGAGGAAGTGCAGTGCGTAAGAAACATAACTCTATCTTGACTAATTACAGAGTTATTGCCCTTTGTTACTTTTCCTTGTCCGTGGCATAACTTGAAAAACTACTGGTTGGAATTCAAAACAACTTCATACAATTGTCAAACACAATAAGGGGAAGTGCAGTGCACAAGAACCATAACTCTATCTAAAGTAATTACAGAGTTATTGCCCTTTGTTGCTTTTCCATTGCCTTCTTTTTTTTTGTCTGTACCATAACTTGAAGACTTATGGTTGGAATTCAATATAACTTCATACAATGGTCAAGCACATTGAGAGGAAGTGCAGTGCATAAGAACCATAACTCTATCTAAAGTAATTACAGAGTTATTGCCCTTTATTACTTTTCCATTGCTTTCTTTTTGTCCGGACCATAACTTGAAGACTAATTGTTGGAATTCATTATAACTTCATACAATGGTCCAGCACATTGAAAGGAAGTGCAGTGCACAAGAACCATAACTCCATCTTTGACTTATTACAGAGTTACTGCCCTTTGTGTCTTTTCCTTGTCCAGAGCATGACTTTTTAAAACTACTGGTTGGAATTCAATACAACTTCATACAATGGTCAAGCACAATAAGGGGAAGTGCAGTGCACAAGAACCATAACTTTCATCTTTACTAATTACAGAGTTTATTGCCCTTTGTTACTTTTTCCATTGCTTTCTTTTTGTCCGGACCATAACTTTGAAGACTTATTGTTGGAATTCATTATAACTTCATACAATGGTCAAGCACATTGAGAGGAAGTGCAGTGCATAAGAAACCATAACTCCATCTTGACTAATTACAGAGTTACTGCCCTTTGTTACTTTTCCTTGTCCAGAGCATGACTTGAAAACTTACTTGGTTGGAATTCAAAACAACTTCATACAATGGTCAAGCAAAATAAGGGGTAGTGCAGTGCACAAGAAACCATAACTCCCATCTTGACTAATTACAGAGTTATTGCCCTTTGTTACTTTTTCCTTGTCCAGAGCATAATTTTGAAAACTACTGTTTGGAATTCAGTACAACTTCATACAGTTGTCAAGGACATTAAAAGGAAGTGCAGTGCACAAGAGCCATAACTCCATTTTGACAAAATACAGAGTTACTGCCTTTTGATACTTTTCCCTGTCCGGGAGCATAACTTAAAAACGTACTTGGTTGGAATTCAAAACAACTTCATACAATGGTCAAGCACAATAAGAGGAAGTGCAGTGCACAAGAACTATAACTCTATCTTCAGTATTTATAGAGTTATTGCCCTTTGTTCTTTTTCTTTGTCTTTCTGGACTTATTACAGAGTAATTCAATTAAACTTCATCAATGGCCAACCACATTGAAAGGAAATGCAACATACATGAACCACAATTATCTTTAATTGCCCACAACCATAACTCATGTTTCAATTCTTTTACAAGGTATTCTGTTACTAGTAACATCCTCATTTCCGAAGCAGACTTGTGGGGGTATTAATCACATTTAGTGATAGTTCTAGTTCCATTTATACAAATACTTGTATGAAATGTATTTCTTTTTTTATGCTCCCCGAAAAAATTTCGGGGGAGCATATAGTCGCCGCCTTGTCCGTCCGTCCGTCTTTCCTTCCGTCCGTCCCCTTTTCTTGTCCGGGACATAACTTTGAAACAACAAGTGGTATCAGCATGAAACTTTGTAGGTAGATAGATCTCATTGAGTAGGTGTGCAGTGCACAAGAACCATAACTCTGCCTTGCCTAATTTTTGAATTATTCCCCTTTGTTTATTTTTACACTTTGAACTTTGTCTGGGACATAACTCTAAAAGTATAAGAGGTATCAACATGAAACTTTGTAGGTAGATAGATCTCATTGAGTAGGTGTGCAGTGCAGAAGAACCGTAACTCTGCCTGCCTAATTTTTTGAATTATCCCCCTTTGTTTATTTTACACTTTGAACTTTGTCCGGGACATAACTCTAAAACTATAATAGGTATCAACATGAAACTTTGTAGGTAGATAGATCTCATTGAGTAGGTGTGCAGTGAACAAGAATCGTAACTCTGCCTTGCCTAATTTTTGAATTATGCCCCTTTGTTTATTTTACACTTTTGAACTTTGTCCGGGACATAACTCTAAAACTATAATAGGTATCAAACATGAAACTTTGTAGGTAGATAGATCTCATTGAGTAGGTGTGCAGTGAACAAGAACCGTAACTCTGCCTTGCCTAATTTTTTAATTATCCCCCTTTGTTTATTTTACACTTTGAACTTTGTCCGGGACATAACTCTAAAACTATAAGAGAGTATCAACATGAAATTTTGTAGCTAGAAAGATCTCATTGAGTAGGTGTGCAGTGCACAAGAACCGTAACTCTGCCTTGCCTAATTTTTTGAATTATTCCCCTTTGTTTATTTTACACTTTGAACTTTGTCCAGGACATAACTGTAAAACTATAATAGGTATCAACATGAAATTGTAGGTAGATAGATCTCATTGAGTAAGTGTGCAGTGCACAAGAACCGTAACTCTGCCTTGCCTATTTTTTTTAATTATCCCCCTTTGTTTATTTTTCACACTTTGAACTTTGTCCAGGACATAACTCTAAAACTATTATAGGTATCAACATGAAACTTTGTAGGTAGATAGATCTCATTAAGTAGGTTTGCAGTGCACAAGAACTGTAACACTGTCTTGCCTACTTTTGAGTTATTGGCCCTTTGTTCATTTTGACACTTTGAACTTTGTCCGGGACATTACTCTAAATTTATAAGAGATATCAACATGAAACTTTGTAGATAGATAGGTCTCATTTGATGGAAGTGCAGTGCTTAAGAATCATTACTCTGCCTTGCCTTATTTTTGAAGTTATTGCCCTTTGTTTATTTTTACTTTTTTGACTTTTGTCCGTGACATAACTTTAAAACTATTAGAGATATCAACATGAAACTTTGTAGGTAGCTAGATATAATTAGATAGAACTTCAATGCTTAAAGAAACCTAAACAAAGCCTGGTCTTATTTTGGAGTTATTGCCCTTTGTTCATTTTTACACTTTGAATTTTACCCGGGACATAATTCTGATATCATCAGGAAACTTTATAGATAGATAGATCTCATTGAATAGAAGTGCAGTGCAAAAAACATACCTCTGCCTTGCCTGTTTGGAGTTTTTGCCCTTTGTTCATTTTTTTATACTTTCCTGTGTCCAGAACCTTCTCGGGGAGCATCACCCAGTTCAACCGGTTCTTGTTTATCAGAATAAAATACTAAAAGATAAAGAAAACATGTAAATAATGTCAGAATTATGAATATGTTTAAGCAGAGTTATAGCCCCTGGCTTTATTTAAATCATGCTATGGTTACTCAGAATAACTAGTGGACAGAAAGTCAAGTGTTACGTATGAAACAGTTTGTTAAAGATAGAACATTTTGGATTTTTATGAAACTTTGCTTTTATTTCTATTTTCAGGGGTCATTTCCATTGGTTACAACAAGATAAGAAAGTGTTGGAGCATGAGTTACCTCGCAAACAGGGCTCCAACTTAGTGATATCATTCCTAGTTAGGTAGGTTTTCATATATGTTTGTATATATATATATATTACAGTTATTTAATGGGTGAGAATAAGCGTTCATATAGTGCTAATTTATAAATTAGGGGGGGTGGGGGGTATCTAGGAGTCAACTTGTTGGTCGGTCAGTCAGTCGCTCCATCCACATCATGGTTTCCAAACAATAACTAGAGTTTGGAATCAGGTGTTGTAATCAAACTTGGGTATATAGCAACCATATGCATTTGGACCCCTTGGCGTCAAGGTCAAGGTCACCGTTCCTAAAAATAGAAAAATGGTTTCCAGTTAGGAATGAGATATTGTAATCAATCTTGGTGTATAGCAAGCTTATATGAAGACCCCGGTTGGTATCGCATTTAGACCCCCTGGCCTCAAGGTCAAGGTCACTGTTACTAAAAATAGAAAAATGGTTTCCGGACAATAACTAGAGTTAGAAATGAGATATTGTAATCAAACTTGGTGTAAAGCAAGCTTATATGAAGACCCCAGTTGGGATTACAATTAATTGAAATAATTCTTTGTACACAGTTGACAGTTCGTGTTCAAATTTTTCTTCAGAATACTTATTTTTCAAAAAGTCAAAGTTGCTGGTAGGGGTATTAATCATCTTCAGTGATAGGTCTAGTTTCAATTGTTTTAGAATTTTGAATCAATTTTGTTAAATATAAACTTCTTTTTTTTTGATAAAATAGAATAAAAATGCATTTGATCTACTATTATTTCCTTGATAACCCATTCACCATTATCATTTGATACAGTCCTCCTTGAGATATTTTTGTTGTAGCTGATACAGGTGTCAAACTGCCAACATGAGAATGAAATGAAGAAATGTCCAAAAATAGACTCAAATAATAAATAAACTAAATAGTTTAACAATCTTCTATATTTTTCTCCCAAGAATTTTGTATGATTTTTTCCCCCCTGATTATATATATGGAATATTTTTATTTCCGGATTATATTTGTAATATTTCTATTTCCAGGTTTTATATGGAAAGTATAACTCTGCTAAGAGATACTTCGACTGTTGAACTTTTCTACCTCAATGCCAAACAATCAGTATTTAAGGTGAGTTTATTGCTGCAGAAATATTATTATACGCATCATTAAAATTTTTCGTTACATCCAAACATTATTTTTGTGATGCACAATTATGAAATTTTCCTTAGAGAGTTGTCTGCCTCTGGTTGTCGTTCATGTAAAGTAAAGCTTTTCCTTATCTTTTTTTTTGAATTATGAAAAATTTATTAATGAGCCACATCATGAAAAAACCAACATAATGGGTTTGCGACTAGCATGGATCCAGACCAGCCTGCGCATCCGCGCAGTCTGATCAGGATCCATGCTGTTCGCTATCAGTTTCTCTACTTGCATTAGGGTTTGTAAGCGAACGGCATGGATCCTGATCAGGCTGCGCGGTCATGATGCGGCTCAATTTTGATATAAAAGAAGATAAAAAAAAATCATCTCCTCTGCCATCTTGTCTTTGAGATTTAAGCATTTAGTAATTAGTTCTGGTGAATAGCATGAAGGTTAATTTAGATGATGAAACTTCAGATAAATCCCTCTGAAATGTAAAAGATAATTTCTGACAAATTGAATGAGTTATGTTGCCAATTAATCACTCGGTGATGGAGGAGGGGAATGAAATATTTATCATCTTTGATTTTAATGTAAATTTAAATAAACGGCAAACTAACAAGCTAAACACAGTTGGCCAAATTAGTTCCAGTGCTGAGGAGATTTTCCTATGCTTTGATGACATATGGTTGGATAAAATGTTGATTAAGAGGGGAAGATTTACAGCAGAGGTTCTAGTGACTGATATTAATGAATAATTGATATAAATTTGTCAGTTTATTGGCTGACAATTAATTATGATTACATGGAACAAGTGTTGGGAACAGATTTAAATGGGAAGCACTGGATTCCATCAATGAGAATGTATGCCAGTATCCTTGATCTGTTTGAGTAATTAAGTGTTCAAATTAAGTACAAATGAGATAAGATGACAGTAACAGATTGACAGACATGTTCCAGATTCCTTTCTATGTTAGTTGTGATCCTACATCATACCTCTATAAAATGTGAATTTTCTGTTATATGCCAAAGTATTTAAAAGTTGCACATATCCAGTTGAGTTGATGACTTTTCAAAATTTCAAGAAATACCTTGACATACCTAATAATACAAAAAAAAAAACAACAACTCAGAGAAACAATGAGGTGTTAAGAATGGAACAGCTAGGATTTTCTACACACAGATTGCGGCAGTTACTGGGTGTTTACCTAGCAGCAGTAACTCAATTTGTCATTGTTTATAAACAAAATCATTGTTAACTAACTTCTGTGGGAAAGTTGCAACATTCAATCAGAAACACTAATTAATACAGGGCAACTCACTTAACTAACCATTTACCGCCTAGGAACCAAAAGTGATTCACCTTTGCTAGCAATATAGAGCCAGGCCAGCCTGCATATTCCTGCAATCAGACCAGGCTCTATAATGATTGTAGATCAAGATTTGTATTTTGTTTTTGAAATCCCTTAACTTTTAACCACTGTTCCAAATTCAAAATAGGGTGAAAACTATTACACAGATTCAGGGGTGGGGTGGGGGCTGCAAATATTTGGATATATACTTCTTCCTGAATAAAACTTTACCTATTTGCTCATTGACAAGACTGTACTTTTAGAAGCTCAGTTATCCCTTTTACTGATAAATGACAATTTTTCCAATTTAAACCCTGTCATGCTCATTACCTTCAGTCAGTAACATGTAGGTAAATACAAGTTAACTAGAAACAGGTGAATGGAGAACCAATTGTTTTGATTATTACCTAACCAAACCATAACATACAGTGTTCCAAGCAGGTCATACTGGTAATATATTGTTTGAACAGTGACCTAACTGCATCAACAAAGAATGCTCATGGCAGGTCATGTTAGCTTAATCAAAGGTAATGGGTAGAACATGGGGTAAGAAAGTAACATTCAAATAGGTCACATTAGCTTTAACCACTTAATAGATAAACCATGTGGAATAATTAGTTGGCAATCATGTTTGAGTTGGTCAGAGTCCCCAGTGGACCTTTTCCTTAATGATTGAGATGTGTGCTTTGTTGTTTCACTCAACATTTGAATTACTTCCAACTGATAGCAGCGGTCTAAGTCAGTCTTTGGTAAGGGGAGCTATAGATTTTGAAAGAGACTTGCATTATTCAGTTCAAAGTTGAGTTCAAATCTTGCCCTGTGTAGCAGCTATGTTAGTTAACCCATAATGTGCTGAATTTCTTAAATGTACTTGTCCAGCTTCCAGTTTTTGAACTGCCCATTACCAATTTAATGAAGATGAAAACTTAAAGTTTGTCAGGCAACAGTACTGAGCAAGTTTAAAAACGCATGCATATGTAGAATGGCATGGCTCTAGCTATACTGGTGGCAAAGGGTTATCACTTTTTTGTTCCAAGCAGGGTAATGGAACTCCCCCCCCCCCCCCCCCCATACAAAAAAAAAAGAGTTAAATTTTACCTATAATTTTAAGCTAGAAGTCTTTTGACATGTCTTTGAACAAAGCCAGTGTGGAAATAAAAGCTCAATAACATGTTCTGGCCAGACAATGTGTAAGTTAAAGACTTGAGTATGGCCATAAAGTAATGTCTTTGAAAGTCAAGTTTGACATTGTTTCCTGTCTAGACTTTTCATTAAATTAGCATTGATTTTCTCTGGTCATTATAAACATTTATACTTGCCCTGAAGATCTCTTGATGTATTCTTTACTGGATTTTTTCCTGCTTTATTTTTATAATTGTCCTTTGCTAATTTGAGGGGTTATAACATTATGAGGCAAGAATTAAGCCAATGACTACTTTGGATTCATTTAATTTTGTGGCCATTAAATTTTCATGGGTTTTGTCACAAACATCATTTTTGTAAGTTCTTTACATTGGTGGTTCATCTATTTTTGCATTAAAGTGAAATGGAAAATAATGTAATGCAAAATAATGTTACAGTAGACAAAATGAATTTTTTTGTTGGATTTAAATTCAATGGATTGACTCACCCAAGAAAACCTATCCAGCTCAGCTCACAGATGGGCAACTGAGGTCTTCCCATCCACCCAGTAAAGCTGGAATGTTGCCTTTATACCTATACTGTGTCAGTGTGTGCCGTAATACCCAATCAATACAAACTACCAAAGAAAACCATGAAAAAATAGTGCCCCATGAAAAAATAATGATTTTGCAGTTTATAAAGTTTAAAGTTGGTATTAAGGCCTCTTAATATTGGCATAGGCCTATCAATAACATACAAGAATTAAGATAGTTTCAGGGATTTTTTTTGGTTTATTTTATAGTCGTTATTGGGTCATATTCCTAATTTAAAATAGTATATTATTTTCCCAATCCACAGGAAAAAATTCCCAACTGAAAGTTACAAAATAAAAATCTGTAATCAAAAATTCTAAAATCTTTGAAAATAAGGACTTCTTCACTATAATAGTGCTTAAATGTTTGAAGATGCCATCCCAAACAATAATTGTTTGCATTCATTTAATCACTGCAAAATTTCAGTCATGCATTTTGTCCCCAATTTTTAACAAAACTCCGCTGAAATTCCCAATTCCATGGGTATGGGTCATGTTCCCAAAATCCTGGAAAAAATCCCTGAGTTTATTACTTTACTCTATTGGAGCCCTGTGGCTAAAAGGGTTAAATCTCACAGGAATTGAAATGTTCAATACATGAACTTCAGACACAAGAGAGAGAATTTTTTTAAGCACCCCGCCCCATGTGGACTTCTCTTAAAGCTTAGTGTGTCCATGTGGCTGTTTTTGAATTTAAATTTCATATTTAACTAATATAATGTCTTCATTTTGCTACTAATTCAAAAGACAGTTTTCTTGTAGTCTGTAATTCATTGCCTATACATAAATTATGCATTTTATATATAATGTGAAAAAAACAGCCTGTTATATAATGCCTTGAAAATTATGTGGGCGAGACAGTGCTGCATTTGTAATGGGGAAATACATCTTTAAACTCATTATCGTAATAAGATTAATGGTCTTATTGCAAAGTACTGCATTTTCTGTAGGAGAAACCAATTTATGGAGCAATTTGTGCATCTAATTTTGAAACTCGTAAAGTTCAGCTATGCAAACAAAACATTTCTCAGCATAGTTATATTGTTACTCCTGGAAGAAAAAAGAAGAAAAAATCACAATGAAACACTTTCCAGTAATTTTATGATATTGTTGTTTGCTGATACAGGAGCAACATTGCTGTAACCCTGTATTTCACCTGGTAGGATAGGTAATTGACTGTCAGAATATCTTATCAGTCTATGTCCTGATAATTCCTAGCTATTGTTTTGTAGGAAATGTTTCCTGTTGTTTTTTTTCTCCCCCCCCCCCCCCCCCCTATCAATGCAACTTCTGTAAAATTTTCTCTCAGAAATGCATCCTCAATTTACCTATTTGCTGTGGGATTGATTTATAGTTGTAATGAAAGTAATAAGGAAAAGTGTTTTAGATAATTGGTAGAGAATTATTATACTTCTATTGGATGTAATACAATATTGATATTAAAAGAGAAAAGCTGTTACTTTTGAGCAATGAAACAGTAAGTATTAAATCATAAATGATAATGATAAAAAAGAATAAATTTTATTGTTTTAAGAAAAAATGTTAGAAGTTTCTCTTAGGGTTGTGTATCATAAAGCATTTGGTTAGACTGGTTAACTGTTTTGATATTTTTGATAAAACTGAATGTATATGTGTGTTTGTCTGGCAAGGTCAAGGTCAAATAATGATCATGAGTACCTTCTTTGCTTGAAAATGCTGAATTACTGTGGAGACAAGGATTCTTTTAGAGTTACCTTAATAACACATTGTTTTAGCAAGACTATGACTCGGATGCCTTGAGCATGCCTTGGATGTGAAGAAAAGTTGATATGGTTTTGTTGCCAATATTGTCATTAGATTCTTTAACCCTTAACTTGCTGGCACTGAAAGAGATTAGTACAACAGCCAGGCCAGGCTGGATATCTGTGTGCAGTCCGG